TTCCCCCTTTTCCAGGAGCAGGGCATAAAGGCATCCCGGCCGAGAGACCAGATAAACCAACCAAACAACCGGTTTGGGCAGGCCGGAAGCGGGGGCAAACCAACCCAACCAAACCAATAGCCAGGTTGGCCAGCCCAAGGCCGAGACAGGAAAACCTACCAACATAACAAAATATAGAGATTGCCAGCCAGAGCCCGGAGGCAAACCAAACAAACAAACAAACAAACAAACAGATAGACAGACGAAAAAGACACAAACAAACAAACAAACAAACAAACAGACAAACAGACAGACAGACAGACAGACAAAGACACAAACAATTTCAAACAAACAGATAGACAGACAAAGACAGACACAGACAAACAAACAGACAAACAAACAGACAAACAGACAAACAAACAGACAAACAGACAGAGAGACAGACAGATAGAAAGACAGATAGACAGACAGACAAAGACACAGACAAACAAACAGACAGACAGACAAACAACCCCCCCTCCCCGCACTCACCTTTCACAATGGTCCGGCCTGCCTTGTATAGCATCTCTGGGCAGGCGCAAACACTGGGCACAGCGCCTGTGTAGGCGGCAAGACGTAGTGCAGGTGGGGCAGTCCTGACAGTACGTGCCCTGATAGGGCGCGCGGCAGATGCACAGGTTGTACATACACCGCCCACGGCCGCTACACGGGGAGCTGGAGAGATGAAGGGGGTGGGGGGGGTAGGGGTTAGGAGAAGAGTCGGAGGTGTCGGGGAGTCTTGTGTCGGGGGGGTGGGGGGTATACTACATTACAAGGAGGGGTTCAAGAAGTCTTTTGGTCTAAATATTATTATGAAGGGATAAAGACAGAGCTTTGTAACTTGGCACACATACTTTTATTTCTCTACATAGCCACCGTGCAGAGCAACACTTTTCTGCCACCTCTCTTTGACCTTCAAAAGTCCTTGAGAGAAAAATGATCCAGATTGGGCCCTTAACCAGTCTTCAATAACTCCAATGGTGTCCTCGTTGTCATGGAAACGACATTCTTTGAGTGATATTTTAAGATAAGGAAACAGAAAAAAGTCTGAGGGGGCTAGGTCTTGTGAATAAGCTGGATGTGGCAGGATTTCCAAGCCGCACTGTTCTGCTGTCTAGTCTGTTTGTTGTGCCCTGTGCGCAGGGGCGTTGGCATGCAGTAGGAGGACTCCATTACGGAGTTTTCCACACCTTTTCCCCACCAATTCGGACCGCAATTTTATCAGCAAACTCGAGTAGTAGTCTCCTGTGACTGTTTTTTTCGTTTACCAGGTAGTCAGTCATGATGATACCTTCACAATCCCAGAAGCACAACAGCATGACCTTTCCTCTTGACGGTGTCACCTTTGCCTTTTTTGGTGAGGGAGGAGAAGGGGTTTTCCATTGCATGGAGGACATTTTTTGTTCTTGATCAAAATGATAAATCTATGTTTCATCCACTGTCACCATGTTTTTAGAGAAATGTGTGTCATTTGGCTCAATTCGAAGGAGAGTTTTGCAGGACTCAACCCTCCGCTTCTTTTGCTCATTTGTCAAAAGGCGGACTGTGCAGACATATTCAGGTTAAGGTGGCCATGGAGAATCGTTTCAATTGACTCGACACTCATTCTCGTTTCACTTGAGAGCTGTTTAACAGTTATATTATGTCGGTCTTGCAGAACCAGTTTCCGCACTATGGATACATTCTCTTTAGTGACCACAAAGGACAGGCGCTCTTCATGATCTTCATCCGTTACCAACATGAATTCAGATTTGAATTTTCTTACCCAGTATGTCACAGTATTATAACGAGGACATTTGTAACCGTAAACATGGACCATTTCCTGAAAAATGTCCAAAGGAGATTTTCCTTGCAAGTGTAAAAACTTGATAACTGAGCGACATTCAACAGGCTCTTTGGCACAGCTTCGGCAAAGAAAAACAAACACTTTTGTGCATGGTTTCATTGAACACGCTGACTAGTGCCTTAATATAGTCAGATTTACGAAAAACTGCGCATGCTGTGTTCCACAGAAATTGTCTAAAGGCTGACGAAATCTTCTTTTCACTGCTCTACCATGATTCCTTCATACCCAGACCAAAGACTTATTGAACCCCCCCCC